ATATTGTCTAACATATTATACATCGATTTCATCTTTTTTGGCAAGTTTTTATATTGATATACCTCTTTTTTCTTTTTGTTGACGGGGTGGAAAATCCCTTTGGATCTCCGGCTCCTTAGGGATGTAGGAGCCAGGAGTATGTGGTTTTTCCAGTAAAAACCACCCCGACGGCCGGACTCAGGCGCCCTACTCCGAGGAGGATCCGGTCCATGTTATTTTAGGTCTCCCCTGGATCGACGCCGCGCCCTTATGTTGATATACCTATGACTAAGTTATCAATAAACAAGAAAATGATTTTATAATACTAATGACAGCTGTCATTGATATATTAATTGTTTTCGACATTACAATCTTTAGAACAGGTTTATTGAACGGGGTATACTCCTTGACTAACATAAACACTTGTGGGAAAAATGTCCTTTCATATTCTTTAACAAAAAGAAAACTGATTGGTGGATAATTTTTTTATCAACTTTTTTTTTATTCGTAATCGGATGTTAGTTACCACGGTTTATTGAAATAAAGAGTAAGCAAATGAACATGTGCTTCTTTCTTGCGTGGTGCTTCAAGGCCTTGCTCATTCGCTTTCGGTAGTTACCCTTTTTTTTTCCGTGCGGAAATGCACCTATCGGTGGCATGTTGGACTCGAACTGACTAAAACCGCACGCCGTCTCGGGTACTTATAGCCAGGGAACCAGGTATACCCTAGAAAGGAAGTCCCTGGTGCCCCGACATACCTCGGGCCATCTACAATAAGTAGACGACCCCGTGTGGGAACCCCATGTTTCCTCTCGCCGCCGGGCACTCTGCCAGCGTGTGGAGAGCCGTGTCCACGGTCTGGCCACCGCAGTGGTGGCACTCATGCGTTGGCTCCTTGCGGATCAGACACAGGTGATCCCCGAAACATCCTTTCCCAGTGATATATTCAGTCCGGTGATCATGCAAATTAAAAAATAATAATTCTAAAATTTGTGTTTGATGCGCGTTAGAAATCGATTTACAAAATACGAATAAAGTTCTTTTGAATGACAAGCTAATAAATACTATAATATAAAAATGATTATTATTAATAATAATCTACTGAATAATCGTCATTTTTTTTAAATATTTTAATAATACCTTTGCATACGTAGTACGTGAAGTAAAAGTGCAGAGGTAGTTTTAATGAAATTAAGGTCATAAAGAATTGAATGAATTGGGTGATTAATAGAATGGAATATAATAAGAGAAGAAGAAGAGAAAAGTTTTTTTATGATAACAAGAATGGTACTGAAAGACAGAGTGGTCTGTAGGAGAAGAAGATGAATTAATAATTGAATACAGAAGACAATTACGGCGATGATGAATCGGCAGGGTATTTCATTTTAACACACGTAGTCTTAATTACTAATAATAAAAATGCTGATAAGGATTCAGGTCATAGTAACATACCCTAATTACAATAATTAATTAATTAATACGAATGATAAAAGTCTGAACCATAATTATCTTGGTTTTGGACGGGCGAAAGTTTTTAAGGTCGCAGTGATTCTGTAACTCTTTGGCTCATAATTAAATGGTAAACCAAAGTTGGGTTTGCCAGTTGCGGTTAGCATCAAAACAGACTTGTTTTTACACGTTTTTTATTAGCTTCACCTGTTTGTTTGTAACAACTCTTTTGGGCGTGATTTTGACTGATTTTAAACGGTCAGAATTCGATCAAACTTTGTAGATAAATCGAGGACCGATGACAATACACTAATTTAAAATAAAAATTAAAATAAATAATATTTAAGAAAAATAGAAAACCAAACTCATCATCTGCCTACCCTTTTCCCAATTTTATTTGGGGTCGGCGCAGTATGTATGATTTTTCCATTCTACTCTGTCATGCGTCATCTCCCTGTTTACTCCCTTCCTAGCCATATCCTCCCTCACGCAATCTATCCACCTTTTCTTCGGTCTGCCTCTTCTCTTGTACCCATCAACTCCCATACCTAAAACTTTCTTCGCCACATTTTCCTCATCCCTCCGCATGACATGTCCATACCAAGATAACCTATTACTTCTTAACTTTTCATCCATTTGGCGCACTTCAGATCCCTCGTATAATCATTCCCAACTTTTCCCTTTCCCCCCAACATCCATCTCACATTCGCATTTCGGCTCGTTTTTAGGCTCTCTCATTTTCCTTTTCTTAAGGGCCAACTTTTTAGAACCATACGGACGGCAGGTCTGATAAAAGTTTTAAAATTTTCCCTCAGTTTAAGGGGAAACTGGATCACAAGTTGTTCCCTTACCTGCCGCCACTTCATCCTCCCCTTGATTTGATGTTGTACATTCGATCAATCTCACCATCACATTGTAAAAGGGGAGCCCAGGTATTGAAATTGGAGCAGACTGGTTACGCAATCCCCTCCAGCGAAAGGTTTCAGGATGGAGGACCCCGAAATCGCAGAACATGTACTCAGTTTTGGTTCTGCTGATTTTCAAGCCAACATTCTCCAGCCTTTGTTGCCATTTTTCCAGTCTGCTCTGGACCTCAACCCCATCCTCACCGACCAACCCAATGTCATCTGCAAATAGCATGCACCAAGGTGCCTCCTCCTGTATGTCCGATGTCAGAGCATCCATTATCAACAGGAAGAGGTATGGGCTCAGAGCTGATCCCTGGTGCAAGCCTACAGAGACACTGAATTGATCAGTGTTTCCCGTGACCGACCTTACATGAGTGCTAGACTCTCTGTACATAGCACGAATCAATTCTACATACTTAACTTTTTTTCTATCTAAATAAATTTTAATAAGTTTGAAAAAAAAAAAGCGTTGGGTGCCTGTTGTCAATAGTAAAAAGCACCCCTTTTTTCATATTCATTATTTTCTACACGTGTCACGTTTGAGATCGTCATGTTTATAATGCATGTATACTTGATCGTCTACCCACTTAAATGAACGTTAAGAATCATTTCAGTTAATTATCACATTAGTTAGTTGATGATTGGATCTTAAGTCATTTTGGGCTATATAAACCCAGTCATCTGAAATTAAGCATATATCTTTGAAAACCACAGTTATAAAGACACCACATCGTTATTTATTAGTAAGTTATTTTTCTACTATTTATTTATGGCTATTTTTTATATTATTTTTATTTACGATTATAACATACGTAAAAAACAGTTTTCATTCACTTGATTCTCGATACATTAAATGGCCATATCTTAATAAATGTATTAAAATAAGAATTACTGAATTTAAAATTGAAATTATTGCAAAATACTCTAACTTAAAATTTCTTGATCACTTAATTAGGTGTCTTACAGGGTAGCATACTAGGACCGTGCTACCTATGTTAAAGTTATTTACTATGTAATGTAAACAACAGTTTTTTTAATAACATTAATTAAAATGAAATTGGAGTTTTAAAATACCGTAGCTAGGACTACGTTCATTCAAGCAGTAGAAGCAGTGTAGTTACGATACGTTTTACCATTACTGCTCTACCCATGAAGCCCAGGAATAAACTTAAATTTAGATTAATGTTCAGTAGCATTATTGCCTTAAAACAAACTGTTTATCAGCATTTATTTTGTTTATTTTATGTTTTAAATATAGTGTAATACTTTACACTATATTTTACCGTGGAAGAGCCATGCTTCGGCACGAATGGGCCGGCTCGACCGGAGTGATACCACGGCCTCACAAAAAACCAATTCTTTCGTTGCCTTTCACTGAGTGAGTGAGGTTACCAGAACCCGAATCCCCCCTCCCGCTCGAGTCAGCGGGAGGGGCGGCACGCGCGACTCTAAGGGCGGCTTTTGAGTTGCCACCTGCAAGAATTGTACGCACTGATACTGGCCGCATCCTAATTTACACCAATGATGATGAAGCTTTAACTATTCATTGGTGCATTAATTTTAAGCAAACTGTTTGGACTAAAGTTTTTCAGTACGGTGAATTCACAGTGTCAATTTTTTTTCTGTGAGAATAAATTATGTTGAACATTTCAAAAACTTTTGTGATAACAATTATCTAGCAAGGAAAAACCCGATATAATAACCTCTTACGACCCCTCCTGATAATGTGCGTTCGTAAATCGTGCTCGGATATAAAAACACTTTATAATTCCGTAGGGAGACATAACTTGGCTAACTTCAGCGGTGAGTGCACTATTAATTGGTGAGGGCAGTTCACATTTAAAAAATAATAATAATCATCATCATCAACAGCCTATAACAGTCCACTGCTGGACATAGGCCTCTCCTTAGAAATAAATTTAGAGATTAATAAAATTCAACATCACTAATATTGTTTGGTTCATGTTAATGTTATGGACTTTCATTTTGTGTTTAAGCAACGTTTTAATGTTTTTTTTTCGAAATGTTTTTATTTATTTTTATTTTGACGCAAGGCAGTAGTTAAATACAAAAAAATCACATCAGTAGAGTTTTCTCTATAATTCAACAATTTTCATTGGTCAAAAACAAAGTTTTCATTAGTGCGTGTAGCTAAAATATATTAGAAGGGGTAAAACAAACACACGCTCTTTATTACATATTCATATTTACATAAAAAAATCTTGTGTATTTGAGAAACACTTAAAAAAAAAAAAAGAATATATTTTTATATTAACCTTGGAAATGTATAAACAATGAGTTTCAGAACTTTCAATGACTGCCTAGGTGGTACAGTAGTAGCGTATGCGACTGCTGTGCTGAAAACTCGGGTTCGATTCCCGGGTAGGACTAAATGTTTGTATGATCTGCAAATATCTGTTTCGGAGTTTGGGTGTTTTCTATGTATAATATGTATGTTTTTACAAAAAAAAGTATGCAAGTATTCCATCAGTCAATCTGTTTTTCATAGTACAAGCTCTGCTTAGTTTGAAACTAGATGACGTTGTGTGTCAGATGTCCCAAATATTATTATTATTAATTCTTAAAGTGAAGTCTTTGTTAAATATTTATTGGAGCCTTGCTATTTCCAGAACCATACGACAGAAATCACCTCTAACACCAACAATGAAGACTTCAATGGTAATCCTTGTCTTGGCCATCATCGTCGCCTGCGCCGTGGTCTCTACCTACGCCTGTCCAGACTCCAAGTTCTTCAAGGGCACCTGCAATGCCCTCAACCAGGACTGTCAGCACCACTGCACCAATCTGGAGGGAGCTAAGAGTGGCCAATGTGTGTACAAATTCCCGGCCTTTAGGTGCAAGTGTTGTTACTGAAAAATGATTGTTTAAGATTTAAACATTTAAGTACCTGTTTATAATTATTTAATAAATTAATTATGTTATAAAAGTACGTTTTTGTATGTTGTTCAAAGTACATTTTTCTTTGCGTGAATTAATCATGCAAAGAAAAATGTTGGAATGAGATATTTGTGGTCTATTTTTAGTTTGCATTTTCTACATGTATCTGGAATCGGTTTAAGTTATGAGACAGTACCTGTCTAATAGACACAATCACAGTTATTTTCACTAACACTAAATCTAGTATTTTTTAAATTATTATCTAGTTTTTTTTAAATTATTATGTAAATAATAAAATAATTACTAAATTTACTGTTGAATAGGCGAAATAGGGTCTCTATGCATCGTCTGAAAACGGCTTATTGGCAACAACGCATGATTAGGTAGTAACCCTAACCTACGTACGAAAAAGCCGAATGCTAATCACCGGTCTTTCACAGTTCACTGTGATTTTGTCCAATGCCTACCGTCTAAGGAAGGTTACGATCTGCCGTCTTGATATTTTTTTAAAAGGTATTATTTTCATAGGTTTGTGTTGTCATTAGGTTCATAGGTTTGTGTGGTGACGGATTAAGAATACAGGGTATCACCACCCCTATTCATCCCGCGGGTGTCGTAAGAGCCGACTAAGGGAGAACACTACGCATAACAACACCACTACAGAGAGAAGAAAAACTTAACACAAACCCTATACCAATCCGTCTGGCCATCGTGGTATAGTAGGCCAATACCTCCTTTCTAGATCCAGCAGTGGACTATTAAAGGCTGTTGATAATGATACAAAACGGTTGCAAAGTTATTAAGAAAGTAGATAGTATCTATTATAGACGCTGTCGAGCCGACATAGTATTAGCGAGGATGAAATTACGAGTTATAATTTTATGTTTTCAATTTGAATTTCATACGAAGGACATACATGCCATTTTTGATCTAAATATTAATATTATTTTGTAGCTAGCTGTGGCTAAGATGGCTTCGTCCGCTACTATGTTTAATTTTTCCGTTTAACTCTGTTTGCCGCAAATATAAATAGTGTAAGATATTTTTTATATTCCAACTGCGCTGAGAGTTGTGTGTTCGATCCCCACGTGGGACAACACGTTGTGTGATCCTCAAATTGTTGTTCTAAATATGGGTGTTCTTTTGTGCCCGTTTTGTGAATGTTTGTTATGTCCTCTGCGACACAGGACATATACCTATTACGTGATTTGTCTTTATATTAAAATTAAATATCATCAACATCATTTGCCTACCCTTAACCCTAATTTGTAAAGATGAAAGTATGATTCTTCCATTCTACTCTATCATTCGTCATCTTACTGTTTACTCCCTTCCTAACCATATCTTCACTCACACAGTCCATCCACCTTTTGTTTTTATGGAATACCGCTTCATTCATTCTCTTCATTCATATGTCATTGTCAAAGTAAGTTTTAAATCGCTCTTTTACATCTTTATCTTTAACCAACACTCTCCCCTCTTCATCTATTATACATCTCACATGCTTTAGGTCTTTTGCCCTTTCTTCCCTGTTTTTTGTAATGCGGTTGAGTTCTTTTTGACCTCTAGGTTCATGTAGGTGTTTAAACATTTTGAATTGAGCTTGAGCTCTGGCTACCGCTAACGGTTTTTTGACTTTTTCTTCCACTCTTTCTATTCATTCATTTTGACTTCCTTCATTCTCTCATACCCTTTTCATTTTTCCACGCTTTGAAGGCACCCTTCTTTTGCTTTTAGAGCTATCTATACCTCATCACTCCACCGCCATGTATCTCTTTCAATAATGCCTTTTCTTTTCGTTTCTCTAAATACTTCTCTCGCTACTTCTTCCGTATATAATGATAATATACCTCACACATCTCACACACGGCCGTCTGATCCCAAACTAGGTAGAACCTGTACTATAGTAACCAGACTGCTGATAAACATACTTATACATTTTTAAATAGATACATATTATAGATAAACTACACCCGGATACAGAACAAATGACCGTGCTCATCACACAATATTTGTCCTGGGTGGATATCGAACCTACGACCTCCGGTTTAGCAGTCAGGGTCACTAACCACTAGAACAACAGGCACGTCTATAATTTTCCATTTCACCCCGCCATCCATCCACAGACTTATTTAGCCTTGAATTCATTTCAATCATTTTTCCTACCACCTTTACTTTAAAGTTACTTGCATACTTTTCTTTAACATTCGCCACCTGATTCTTGGAGAAGGTCAGTTCTTCCTACTCTTACTCAAAATCATCCATTTGACCTCCATTACCATTGCAATCTGCAACCACTTCGCAGTCTCTGACACGAACCAAAATACGGTGGAGTATAAGAAAACCCCTAATTTCAACGTTAATTAGAAGAAAATATATGTAAGAGAGCGTTGCGGAAAAATACCACATAGGTAAGCCGACGATGATGAATCGAATTAGTCATTGCATTAATTTCAAACACAGTATTTTTACTACAAGTTTCCAGTATTGTGTATCTCACAGTAACCATCACGTGCCTGCGTCATTTCTTTTTTTCTTGTAAGATTATAGACGATAACAAAGGACTATGCGATACCCTCTTATACCCCTCCTTATGTGGAAGTAGTGAATCACGATCAGGTATATAAGCATTAATTCTTCAGTATATTAATTGGCTAACTCCTGTAGTGAGTGCACTATTGGTGAGTGAGAACTTTACAAGTTCATATTTTGAATTTAATGTTTAGTGATTTATGAAATATATAAATCGACCTTGTGAAAATTTTCTTATAATGTTTTTTTAGTTTATTTTAATGTTTTTTGGTTTCGTTTTGCGTGTTATAAATTTTATTTTTTAATGTTTTGTTTAAAAAAAATACATCAGATAACCTTCTGTATTATTATTCGTAAGTTTTTATTAATTAAATTAAATATGTTCAATATTGTGATTTAAATATTAGAATACTCATAATTAGTAGGATATCTATAAACTTAGTACAAAAATATATTTGGTCTGAATTAATTCAGACCAAATAAATAATATAATAAAAAAAAAAAAAAATATATATATATATTTAAAGGAATTTATTACACTTTGCTAATTGCTTGCTTAAATTTAAAACTATAACTAAACATTTAAATTTATAACATATAAGAGTTTTAAAATTAAATATTTTTTATGTTAAATTGTGTGGAGTCTCAATTCAAGATATTAAATGTAATTATTTATAGAAGTGGTACTATTTTCCAGAACCATACGACAGAAATCACCTCTAACACCAACAATGAAGACTTCAATGGTAATCCTTGTCTTGGCCATCATCGTCGCCTGCGCCGTGGTCTCTACCTACGCAGGCTGTCCAGACTCCAAGTTCTTCAAGGGCACCTGCAATGCCCTCACCCAGAACTGCCAGTTCCACTGCACCAATCTGGAGGGAGCTAAGAGTGGCCAATGTGTGTACGAATTCCCGGCCTTTAGGTGCACGTGTTGTCACTGAGAAATAACCGTTTAAGTTTTAATTTTTTAATTTTAGTATAAATTTATTTAATAAAGTAATTAAGTTATAAAAATATATTTTTTTTCTATCCTGCAAAATGAAAGAATAAAATATCCATTGACATGACTGTTTTTAGTTCTTTAACTTTTCTGTGGCTTTACAGAATACTCTAAATTATGCATAAGTCTTTAAAAACAGTGTTATAAGTAATCCTAATTTAAATTTGTTTGTTGTTTTGAATTTCAAATATCTCTTGACTAATAAAATTGAAGGTACATAATAGATGTTGTCAAAGGGTCATCAGATATGGGATGAATAGAAACCGATGGAAAGGGTTGCCTCTGAGCCTAGGTTTGCTTCTCTTGACAAAATATCACACAATTCCAAAATAGCGGTAGGACGGTGCGGGCCTCGTTGAAACAATCCATATTGATTTCAATACTGTCGTTAAGATGGGGCATCATAAAACATGAGCTAAAGTAGACCACCCACTGACACCAATCAATGTAAATAAAAACTTTAAAGTGAAACCAAAATACTTGATCTCATGCCATTACCCAATCAAATGGTAGTGGTATGGGGGTTAGGGGCCCCATACCTTCGCCTGTTCATTACGGATCTGACTTAGCGATTTATTCTTAGTTTATGTACGCGAAGACATTAAAGTTACTGTGGAGGAACCTTCTTTTCCAGGTGCTAACGGATTGCTAATAAAACTTGATAGGAATATTATCATACTAGCGTTGTACCGGTCCCCTGGTTACAGAGACATTCCTAAATTCTTGAACAACTTAGGTAATATACTACTAACAATAGAAAAATATGATACCATCGTAATAACTGGAGACACAAACATCAACATTCATCCCGACCACCGAGATTCAGACAAACTAAGTTACCTCACTGTGCTAGCCACTTATGGCTTGCTACCAGCCCACAACATACCTACTCGTCAAAATGCATGTATAGACCACTTTATACTAAAGACTGTGCTATCTGCCACAGTACTAGTTGTCCACTCTGCTCTAACCGACCATGAAACTGCTCTGTTATTTCTCGCAACAAAAACTAATAGAACAGTCGCTAAAAAACAAGAAACCGTATTAACTATGAGCAATTAGACAGTGACATAAATCAAATTAACTTCCGCGATATATACAACATGCACGACGCAAACCTGGCAGCTGATACAATGGTAAATCTTATTAGACAGACCATTAAAACTAACTCAAAAATTGTTAAAGTGCCCAACCGAAAAAAGATAGTTAAGGATTGGATCATCCCTGGTTTGCTTCGATGCATACGATACAGAGACAGCTTGCACAAACGATACAAAAAAACACCCAACAATGAAATTTTAAAACTATCCTTTTCTAGATATAGAAACTATTGCAATAATCAGCTTAAAAAGGCTAAAATAGAGTATGATAAACGAAAAATACACAGGGCAGGGAATAACACAAGACAATTGTGGACAGCTATTAATAACATAACCTATAGAAGCAAAAAGAAAGAAAATAATTCCCAGCTACTTACATTATCCCCATCTCCACATACTTCTGTAAATAAAATAAATGACTTCTTCGCTGATATTGAAAAAAACCTAGCAGAAAAAATAATGAACACAGCGGGTGACCTCACAGAAACAATTCCCTGCAAAAACACCCAATCCATGGCACTGTTACCTACTGACGTGGAAGAGGTGGAAACCCTAATTATGTCTCTTCGTGGTGACTGTGCTGTCGGTTAGGACGAAATCTCTAGCAATTTACTTAAAAAACACCGAGCGATATTTGTACCCCCACTCACACATATCTGCAACCTAGCTCTAACCACAGGTAGATTTCCTAAAATCTTTAAGAAGTCGATTATACACCCAATCTACAAGAGTGGGAGCAGAGACTGTGTCAACAACTATAGGCCCATAGCCGTCCTTCCCGCTCTGTCGAAAATACTAGAACGTATCATGAATACAAGATTGGTCAACTATTTAGAAAACCAAAAAATACTTTCCCAGACACACCTTTCTAGACAGACACTTATCTTTCTAGATCTAGCAAAAGCATTTGACACGGTCTCTGTTCCCATCCTAATGCAAAAAATGGAAAATGTTGGCATCAGAGAGCAACAACTTGGGCTTTTGAGGACTACCTTAGTGAGCGTACCCAGAGCGTTAAGGTGGATGACTTTATAAGCGAAGACCGAATAGTGAAATATGGAACGCCTCAAGGCAGCGTCCTATGTCCTACGCTCTTCCTGATCTACATTAACGACCTGGGTAGGCTTACTTTACATAATGGCTAAATTATAACTTTTGCTGACGACACCGTTCTGCTCTTTAGTGAAAACACATGGGATAGCGTCTTTAAGTGTTCGCAATCGGGTCTCAACGCTGTGACTAATTGGCTTCGAAGAAGTGTCCTAACATTAAATACAGATAAATCTAACTACATCGCCTTCTCTCTCAACGCAACCGCAGCGTCACACGTCGATTCATACAAAATTACTGCTCACTTTTGCCTCAACCCGAACGATAACTTATGTAATTGCAGTACTCTAAACAGAACAGATAAAGTGAAATACCTTGGTGTGATTGTCGATAGTTGTATGAGGTTTCAGGATCATATTGACAGTCTTAATTATAGGTTACGCAAACTGATGTACATCTTCAAAACAATGAGGAGGGTAGCAGATGACAAATTAAAAAAAACGGTTTATCTGGCATTGGCCCAGTCCTTATTGCCCTACTGAATCACTTCCTGGGGAGGAGCACCAAAATCCAACATGATAGACCTAGAGAGAACGCAGAGAGCTATCCTCAAAGTATCCTACCATCTTCCGTATCGCTACCCCACACACCAATTATACAGAGACACTAAAGCCCTTACAGTACGACAGCTGTTCCTGCTAACAACAATCCTGAGACAACATAGCCTATTGGATTATCATCCACCATGTCCTGTCAGTAGAAGGCGAGTGAATCCAGTAGATCGACTCCAACACTCAAAACGCACAAAATTTGCAAAGCGCTTTTTTTGTCACCTAGGAGGTTTCCTATATAATAAAATAAACGGTACCCTAGGCATACTTCACCTAACAAAAAAACACTGCAAAATAAAACTAACGAACTGGCTCCGACAACTCAATTACAACGAGACAGAAAAAAATCTTGATATCCCTGGGTAGTGATACCATACAAACGCAGAACAAAACACACACACATACACATGCACACACACACACTCACACACACCCTCGCGCACGCGCGCGCACACACACACACACACAAAACGCAATCTAAAACCTACACAGTTTATTAAGAATAAATCCTAAAACTAGCGAATGCAATGTTGCAAACAAGACAATTTAAAGAGGGGAAGACCTGGTGACCTGAAATACAGGCCAAAAGCCTACCTTAGGTACCAGTCTCCCACACTACTGATTCCTATTTTGTTATTGTTTTAATTATTGTAATTGTTATGATGTTGTGGTGATAAAATAAAATTATTATACTTAGCTTAGTATAACTTAGCTTAGCCTAGCCCACTCGTCCAGTTAGATTTCTTTTCCTCGATTAACTTTCTTCTTTTAAAAAAGGAATGAGGAAAAGCAACATCAAGCATTCGGCGATATTATCTATCTAAATAAATTAGAAAAAATACTTCAAAAGAATTTTTGCTACAGAGTTTCATTATTGCTCAGTAGGCTGCTTTTGTAGTCAACTTTAATATCCTGAATTCAAGAGCCAATTTCTTATCTTAAGTGTTTTTCTCTCAATATATTACAGCTAGTTTCGCTAATTACCGCTTTAGATACAGTAGTGTGTAGTAAACAAAGTTTAATTAGCCTCATTACTGATAGATTTAGTTAGAACATACATCATCAAATTTTGATGTTTCTTTTTGAAAAGTCTTGTGAGATCCATCTATAATGTATAATTAAAACTTTGGCAGATTTACAAAACAACGACTCAATGAATAAGGCATTTATTTAAAGCAATTGTTTTGTTCTACTTTGTGTCCTTCGGTACATAATTTCCGTAATACGCATTTTAATTAAGTGTTATTTAAAGTATATTTACATTGTGTAAAATATATTCGGGTGCTTGCCAATGCAACAAAAAGTCATGGAACCAACTGTTTAAATTTCCACAGAATGCGCCGTAGGTAATGTAGGTAACAGAATCTATAATTAGCTCAGATACTACTTGTACTAACATTTCCAGTCACCTTTAGAGTTTCGTTTGAAAACCTACATCATACCCCGTTTTTTTTTTCGTATTTATTTGACAAGATTATATTTTATTATCTCCTCTAGGGGTTGTAAGATACGTCCTATTAAACTTTTGAAATGGTTGCAGCACATCGAAGTTAGTCTGTCCTTTATTATTTGTACGTTTAATATTGGCTTACCGTAGACTAGTTGTTAGAGGTTTAGATTCATCATCATCATCATCAACAGCCTTTAACAGTCCACTGCTGGACATAAGCCTTTCCTTAGAGGTTTAGATTAGTCCAGAAAAATATGTTTATATAAAAGTAAGTCTTTATCGTCTGGATGGTTATTACAGTGACTATTAAAATCGTAAGTAAGTAACGATGGACCTGGAATCTGTCTCTCATCTTGATCTCACCTAACAAAAAAACTGTTTGTTTGTTTTGTTTTTTACCAGAACTGAGAAATATAATAGTGATAAGTTAATATGAATATATATATATATATATATATATATATATATATATATATATATATATATATATATATATATATATATATATATATATATATATATATATATATATATATAACACATTATCATCATCAACAGCTTTTTATAGTCCTTTTGTAGGACATAGGCGTCTCTTTAGAAATGAGGTTTTAGCCTACTATAAACTATACTACGCTGACCAAACGGGTTGGTATAGGGTTTTGTATCAACCGCCCT